GTTTTAGTTTCTGCTTGCACTTAGATGGAATAAAATGTGCGGATAAACGGTCGAAAAATTTTCATGCGATGGGTATATCGGCCACTTAGATTAATGGTTAGATAGTCTGGGTGCGTTACTCGGAGTGTGCAGATGTTGCAGTAGTACTAATAGTGAAAAAGTAATTGTAACGGTGGTAGGGCCACGCAGCAGCCTCGGCTGTTGCACGAATGGGCTGGCTCGTCCAGGTAAGTACCACGACCTCACAGAAGACCGGCGTAAAGTGGAAGTATAATACTTTCGCGTTTCGTCTGGTGAGTGAGGTGGCCGGAGCCTAATTTTCAAAAGGTTGTCAACGCATCTGCAACCCTCGGGTGTTGCAGATGTCCATGAGCGGTGGTATTCACTTAAAAATCAGGTGAACTGTCTGCTCGCTTGGCAACTTTTCACATAAAAAAAGTAATAATATTTTACTGCATTATAATTTCTTATATTTACACTATTACACATTACGAAATGAAAACTATCTTTACGTATTTATCGCGTTTATTTTTAACTTTAGTTCCCGACGTTTCCGTTCCCGAGATAAATCCGTACAAATAGTTTCATTTAGTAATATTTTAATTTAGATAAAAGCGAACGCTATATTAATTGCATGGATGTATGGGCGCGAGAAAGGCGCGCCCATACATCCATGCTTGACTCTCTCGGTGGTATGAGTGTAGTTATTGTATGTTAATCTATTTGTCAGTTTCAATAGTTGAGAAAATATAAATAAGACATAATTCCGTTTCAAAATTAATACCAAACCCTTCAAAAGTAACTTGTTCTTATGACTAGATCGGTGAGAAACCGATCTACCTTGCCGTTAAACTTATAGCGGTATCATAAATAGAGAGCATGTCGTGTGGGATGGGAACTTGAATATCAAACGGTGCGTTGCATTTTCCGAAGTCGTAAAAACATGGCAATTGGTCTCTCGTCTCACCGTCGCTTCTCACGGCCGCATTTAAATCTACTCAAAGTTTTAAGTGGCAAAATATTTTTTTTTTCCGGAATATGAGATAGACCTCTATTCATAATAATTTCATTGATATGATTATTAAGTTCATTGATATAATAGATACTTTGTTTTTTGAGTAAAAGTGTGTCATTAGACCACGCCACGGGAGAGTTTATGCATTATAATCGCATTACGAACGTATATAACGTAATAGTACTGTTTAATGTCGCCTACTGGCCAAATGGACGGACAGACAATATTCATTAAATGGATTTATATTTTCCATAAAGGAAGCTTTATTTTCTTTTATATTTTTATTGCTAGAGCACATTTATACGCAAGCATTGCCCGGGTACTACCCTGAAAAGCTTTTAGAAGACATGATTTACAAATTTTTACAATTAAGTTATCCCATTCAACCTGTTGTGGATTCGGGCGAACTATTTACCAAACAAAAATTTTAAATTTCCTAATTTTAAAAATAAAGTAACACATTGTGGCACACTGTATGTATACCTCGCAGTGATTTGGCAACGACGTCGAGACAAAAGGTTATTAGGGTATTCAGCGATGATGACTTTAACCGCCGAGTACTTGATAATCGGTACCTAAAATTGCAATTAAAAACATTGGCACCAGGATTTCAACTCGGATCTCACGTGGAATAAGAATAAGAAGCGACGATCTGACGACTGAGTCATAATGATTAATTTGTTCTTAATTGAAAATAGATCTTAAGTTCTTTCACAATCTTTATAAAATATGCCTTGATACCTTATTATCTCGTTGTAAGGATAATGTTGGACACCTCGCCCGCGCCGTTTGCTCTTGCCAAACGACCTTCGATAATTGACCTCGCAAATGTTTACCAAGCTGTTTACCGTTGAACCATTTTGCTTTATTGATATCACCCTGTAAAGGTTTGTATGTTCCAGATGGAAAACTTAATTCACTCCCATGTTGGTTCTTCTAAGTTTTCCTGCATTTGTATCATACTTAATAGATCGCTGGCCATTAGTAAATTGTTTCTTTTTTTTTTAATGCGAGAATGTGGCAAGCCAGCTGGCGCTTCACCGGATTTTAACCGGTAACCGCCGCTCATGGCAACACCATCATTCTTAAAAATGTGGCTACCTCATTCACCAGACGAAAAGCAGAAGATTAACATTCCTACTTCACGCCAATCTTCTGTGAGGTTGTGGTACTTACCCCGACAGACCTGTGACCTGTTCGTCCATGTTGTCTGACCCTATCACAGTTGTCTCCTATCCAGCATTAGAAATAGTGCCATTCAGAGAGCGTCGTCGCTCGAAACAATATTGTGGATATATCTATAAATAACCGCATTTAATTAAAACTAAACTGTTCGTCACCATACGGAAAATTTCATTTAATTATACATGAATCTGCACAAATATTTTTACGAGCAATAACAGACCCGTTTTAGAAGGCAAAGCTCTTACATTATTCAAAATATGTCTTGGACTGTCTGCTATTATTTTATTCTAATTTTATGTCTACTGTAGAGTTTTATGTTTCTTCGCCAGACTTGTCTTTATTTGCAAACCTATTTCATTTCGTTTATTATAATGTTCATTAGAGGTATGTTGATTATATTGAATAAAGGTATTTTGGGTTTGAATAGAAACCCGTCTCTATTTTCGTCCCGACCTCAGACATAATCCGCATCGTATCCATTACACTACAGTTGTATCAATAGAATTACGTGGTTTGATTTTATTTCAAGTCACATGTATACACATTACAATGACATTTTTCAGTCTAACCGTTAATGTTCACAGGTATTGATTTATTTTATATTTTATTTTTTTATTATATATATTATATGTATCGACGGACCTCACGGGAATGTATCGACTTTACGTGCATTACCGTGCTTCGTAAATCCGAAATAGCTACTGGCTTTACGATTTCTTCCTGCAGTTGTAAAGCTGAGTTTGTTCATTTCTATGAATGTAAACCGTTTATAGTCGACTTGTAGACATGGCGATAAAGTTTCGCTAATTGCTCTTAAAGCTGACGAAGTCGATTCCTAATCAGAGTTACGCTTTATGACACAAGAGCCAGCTGTGCTTCAGAGTTTGACTAACATGGACGCTACTGGAACTTTTTTTTATGTGAGATGGTAGATAGCGGCAGTTAACTTGATGTTAAGTGAAAGCCGCCGCCCATTAACATTTGCAAAACAGTTGCAGATGCGTCGCTATTTTTAAAATAATTCACATTGATCATTTGCAACACCCGTAAGGTTGCCGATGCGTTGCCTTTTTTAAATAAATTGACCTCCGGCTACCTCACTCACCGGACGAAACTGCAGTCTTCTGCGAGGTTGTGGTACATACCCGGACTTCGTGCAACAGTGAAGACCGCGGCGTGGCCCTACCACATGAACTTCCCTTGGAAACACGTTAATAGGCATTCAGTTAACTACATTATCGTGTGAGCTTCGTGATTATATATCATAGATTGCCACCTTAATAAAAAAAAAGTAGTTTATAGGACTTCGTGACAAACGACATAATCTACATAATAAAAATTTAAAAAATAAGTATAAGTGGACGGTTTGAATAACAATTTAAAATTGTTTGTCTGGAACGCGCAGTAAATTTTGTAGAACCTTGGGTGAGGACATAGAAAGATGTTTAAATTTTACTTACAAAAGCCTATCGGAAGAAAAAGTTTGAAATTACACCCGACGTTTTTTATAAGGAAACCTCTGTATTATAATATAGTATTACCGAATACAAGCTTCCCAAGACCGGGTACTAGCACGGAAATATAAAAAAGAAAAATCATATATACTCTGTGGGAAGCGTTCGGACGCGGGAGCGGGAAGTTCTGGTCATGACTTTAAATCGTGTAGTTTTATAATTTTGTTAACGATAAATTGATGGGAATCATTTTGTTAGAAGTTGTATTTGATTTTTGTAAAATATATTTTGAATAGATTAGTGTGATTTCTTTTTAAAAAATGGCCTGTTTCATGGCCTCTTTCATTGCCATTGAAATTAATTTCTTTTTTTTTATTGCACTTGACATTGCCACAACAATGCGGGACACGCTACCGCCCGAATGATGTGTTTTCACGAATCCATGTATGTTTAGTATATCAGTTTTGACCTCTTTTGTTAATCAAACTGACGCACAGGGAATCATAGTTGTGTTTAACTCGTTGTGTGAATAGAAATGTTCCTTCTCAAGTTACATTATCATTTTATTGATAATCTTGGGACTTGTCCTTGGTAGAATTTATAGTTTTATTTCATGTGAAGGAACACGTAGGGTATGAAATTACATCTCTTTGTCGTAAAGCGGTTTGCAAAATAAGAGATACACAAATTTAAAGCAGTCAACTAACGATCATTTTGTTTCGTCTATTTACTTATTTAGTAGATCACAAATTTTGTTTTTAAAGGGCCGTTAGTTATGATACTCCGGAGCAGCGACCACCCGCTCGCTTGACGTCAACCCGCATTGGGAACAAATTATCGCAGATCCGGAACGATTATATGTGGGGTACACACTATACTTGACCCGTGTGGGAATCGAACCGGCTACCTCCGACATCGAAGACTAGCTCAGCAACCGCGACACCAAGTCATAGCAGAAAACATACACTTCCGTTTCTTCACAAAACTTTCAGGATCAAGTAGTAAATGCATAGAGAGGCTTGCCAGGTTATGGACTTCATCAAGAAAAAAAGAAACATTTATTCACGGTCTAACCGCAATGCGTAAATAAAAAAAAAACCTTAAAAATAATGGAATTACTCAGAATATAAAATAATATTGCGAAAATTAAAATAAATGAAAACATCTAAAAAAATTGAGTCCGTGTGAGCAGCATGAGACGTTGAAACGGACGGGACTCGGTAAGAATCGAGAAACAGCAACTAAAATTGATCCGATACCGACACCGGTTTTCGGTCAAGCCAGGTATTGACGTTTGCAAACACTAAAATTGTAGTTATCAACGTTTGCAACCGTTCCGTTCGCAGACGCGAACTCCTTCCACCAGACGTCCAAGTGGATCGACGACGTGCGCACGGAGCGGGGCTCCGACGTGATCATCATGCTGGTGGGCAACAAGACGGACCTGTCGGACAAGAGGCAGGTGTCCACTGAAGACGGGGACCGGAAGGCGCGCGAGCTGAACGTGATGTTCATAGAGACCAGCGCCAAGGCGGGCTACAACGTGAAGCAGGTGAGCTTTGAACTGGTAAAGTGACGGAATATACGTGTATTTTTTTTATGTGGAAAGTTGCCAAGCGAGCAGGCGGTGCACCTGATGTTAAGTGAATACCGCCACCAATGGACATATGCTACAGCCGAGGATTACAGATTTTAAAAATTGGACCTCGGCCACCTCACTCACCAGACGAAATGCGAAAGTACTATACTTCCACTTATGTCCGTCTTCTGTGAGGTTGTGGTACTTACCCGGACGAGCCAGCCCATTCGTGCAACAGCTGAGGCTGCTGCGTGGCCCTACCGCCGTGTGCACTGCTGGGCAAAGCCCCCCTCTGTACAGATAGTATCAGGCGATAGTCCTCCTTTGAAATATTTAATTTTTTGTTGATAATTCGATAACATACAAGTTTTATCATTATGCAGCACTTAAAATAGTAGTTAAGCGTCACTTTTTCACTAGGGTTGATGATATCTGCTTTATTGTTTAGTAATACTACTAGGCGTGACATATGATTTTCCACTGCTGGGCAAAGGGCTCTGTACAGAGGGTATTGGGAAAGTTCATCAGAAAGTTAACCACGCGATCCCACTTAGGATTGACAGACTCCACGTCTTCACATACCTTCGATATATTTTTTTCTTATTATTTCGATAATATGCAGGTTTCCTCTCGATGTTTCCTTCACCGCTGCTGCGGGATTTGAGGGCTCGTCGTACATTGAAATCAAAGAGAGCGCCCGGACACTGTCCCGGATATGTCATTATTACGCATGAATGGAGCGTAAATTCCGCATGTTCCAGCTGTTCCGGCGAGTGGCGGCCGCCCTACCCGGCATGGACTCCGCCGAGAACAAACCGCCCGAAGACAGTATCCTTTTCACGTCAATTAAGTTAACGGTTAACCTTAACGCTCACCGACACACACACACGAGCGACCCACGTCATACACGTGCCACACAAGCTCCCACGCATCACGCACACACGCACGGCATTGGACATTTATATACGTATACGTAATGGTATTCATTTTTGTATTGGATTGTATTTGACGTAATGCTACGATTTGTACGAAATAACGGCTAATGGATTTGAGGAGTGCGCGTCGTTAGTTTTTTTTAATGCATTTTCCACGTGTAAGATTGGTTACGAGTAGCGACTTCGAAATGTAGAGGAAGAATAGTCAGAAATGTTCCTGTGACGGGAAAAGCGTGATAACAACAATGTTAAACTGTGCTTTCATAAACATACACTTCCCGATATATGTAACAATTGTTGTTATTATTTAACCGTTACAATTATACTTAATTAACTAATTGTTTCTAGTCGATTCAAGGGATGCTCAAAAATGTTGTTCATACAGTGATAAAATTTGGGACTGAGTAAATAAAACAGACTCTTTTGTCTTTTTATAGTTAGCGATATTACAAATTATTATTATAGATATGTGATATCTGATACATAATAATACTTTGTACTAATCCTCTTTATCAAGCTTATTCATAATTCCGTTCCGGTGTTTATTCTTAAGAAGGGTTGACTTAAAAGTAAACATTTTAGTCAACCCTAAAAGTAAACATATCGTCAGTTGTAATATCAATTAATGTAACCGCCAAAAAGCGACTTTACAGGAGAGGCAAAAAACTAAATTACAATTCACAAAAAGAGTTGAAACTTTTTGCGTATTTATCCTATCGGAATGCGGTTTGGAGCATTTTTATGAAAATTCTGACATCTGCTATCTGAAAGAAACCATAAGAAGCCTACTAGTATAGTTTCGCAGATGGCATGGTGGTTACGTTAATTTTTTTATTTTTATTTCACGTTACGTTAAGATTTTTTGAAATAAATAGTAACAGCCATAACGTAACTCACAGCGTATACAACACAGCGTAACGTATATCGCGATTTATTTATTAATATTTAATGTATATCACAGCGTATACAACACAGCGTAACGTATATCGCGATTTATTTATTAATATTTAATGTATATCACACAGTTTTTAAGACAATGACATACATCGTGACTTATAGACTAGGAGTTACATACGTATTCCCTTAAAATAAGGTTTAGTTTAGAATAAACTTTTTATTAATTCTAGTTAAGTTTATTTTTTATGAATAAAACAATTGCTTTTATACAAAATTAACTTTAATTACCATTCTTTGGTACATAAAATATTAAGTCCTTATTGAGATCATACAATCAAACAATCAATCAGTCTTCAAGAGGAACAATTAAATTATTAAGAAAGTGTTCTATCTCTTTCACATTGTATTTGTTACATATGCGGAGTTAGTAATTGACTACTATAATTTAAAGATTAAAAAACAATTCAAAATTTACCAATATTTCGTAAAAATTAACAGAAAACATGAGTCCTAACTTTTATGGGATAAGATAGATAACAATCAGAATAACGATTAACAAAAACAGCTTTTAGCTTTGATAAAAACATAGTATAACTGAGAAGCTAACAACGACATACTCGTTGGATATTTCTTAAATTATTAGAAGCAAAGTAGAAATTTTACTTTGAATTAATGTGTGTAGAAAGAAAATCTAAAACTGTTTGATTAATAGCTACGGAATCAAAACTTTACAAAAACCAAATCAAATCCTTAATATAACATCATTCTTATCTAATATAATCTAACGGTTTGTGGATGAAACATACTAAAACGTGACTAAAATCCTTTGCTGTTAGCTTTCCCTTTCCGATTATTATATTTTCCTTTATTATTTTCCTTTTTTTTTCTTTTTATTTTTCTTTTCCCAGCTTTTCCTAAACTCTCTTTCACCGCTTTTTCTATATTTTCTGCCTCGTTTGCATAAGACTGTACGTTCAATTTTGTATCGTAATCACTTTGTGTTTTTGTTCCGCTTTGTTCTTCGGTTTCATTTTCACTTGTAAGATCATCCCCTTGTTGAATAATGTCATCCAAATAGTCATTTTTTTCTATAAAAGGCAGATGTAAGTACTCATGTTTATACTGCTTAGGTATAACCTCATCATCGCAGAGTTTTTTAAGGTCCATATATTTTTTTTTAGAAATTGGCAATCGCTGTGCATAAAGTTTTTTGCAAAAGTCGGGTTTGATCACAGACTTTATTGCTATTTCTTTTTCCTATTCCTTTTTTTGTTCCCTTTGCCTTCCCTGTTACAGTTTTCATTCCTTGACTCAATGGAATATTGAAAATGTCATCGTCCTCTTTCATTGTATATGTAACTTCCATTTCATTTAAATTTGTTTTTTTTAATTGTAGCGATTCTAACATCCTTCATTCTAAAGTTTGGGTTGGATGTCGTTTTAGGCGTGAAAATCTGTTCGGCAATAATCTGCCAATTCATAAAATCAGTGTGGTCCAAGGTAATTACAATATAAGGACGTGGTATTTTTCGTGCTGCAAGCATAAAAATTGGCCATTGTGCAGGACTCCACACAATGAGTTTCCGTACCTCTCGTTCGATGACTTTATGCATAGAATCTACTGGCATATAGCTGTGTCCAGGCAAAAGATAGTTGATTTGTACCACTTGAACATTATTTGAATATTCCAGGAAATATTTAAACACGCTCGTATCTCAGTATAACTTTGTTTTTATTTTGACCCCATTAGGAATCACAATAGAAAATTACATATTTTGCTCCTCTTTTGTCAATGTCGAGGAGGTATTTGTATAAGCATGTTCCTATTTCGCAACTACCCCTTTTTCTATTCTTATATTTTATGCTATTAAATATAGCATAAAACATCGGGATATATTAATTGAGATCTTTTCTAGCTTATTTAAATGAAAATGCAAAATAAATTATTAAATTTTTACGAGCATACACACAATAAAGTAGCCTTTATCTTAAAAGTATTTTTTTGTGTATTTGGGGCTGTAACAGTTGTAACGGTGAGTTAATTTAACAGCCAGAAAGTTGTGTTCTAAAACAAAACAAGTAATGTAAAAGTCAATTTTCTAAAAACTTACTATATTTTGTACAATTTTTAAAAATTGACTCTTACGTTACCGACTTTCTTTCACGTTAGGTCAATACACTAAAAAGTAATACCAAACCTGTCGTTACATTAACCCATACTTTGGTCATTCTCATAGGATGTAACATACATCACAAAAATGAGTGAAAATAACAAAAAACAGCCGGATTTTTTTTAAAGTAATCGACATTTTTTTCATCATATCGAGATTTCAAAGCCACCAATCGATAGAGCGAAAAATTTGCAGTCGAACTGTATATTTAACTCAATTTCGTCATTTTGGCGGTTACATTAATTGATATTACAACTGACGATATGAAAGTCTAAAACTGATGTAACATACATAAACGTTTATTCGTTGCGAGTCACCTGCAGAAACGTAATACTGAGCACGCTATGTAGACGTTTATCCATGCTAATATTATAAATGCGAAAGTAACTCTTTCTGTTTGTCTCGCTTTCAGTCAAAAACTACTGAACCGATTTAAATGAAATTTAGTACACAGATAGTATAATAATAGATAGAGCCTGAGTAAGGATATAGGCAATTTTTTAATTGGAAAAAAATGTTGTAAAGAGTTGAAAGATATTTATTTAAGGGCTTCAACGCGAACGAAGCCGCGGGCGAAAAGCTAGTTTATCATAAAAGAACTTGTAACCAATCTTACATTGACTCGCATTCGAAATTCGCGGTGACAATGACTAGTGATGTCCCCGGGCCCCGTCTGTGTCGGTGGTGGTATTAACGTGTTAACAACTGTGTTGTAAGTAAACTTAACATTACTAATCTATTTTGTCTCTCCCAATTATTTGTTGATTAATGTATACATTGCCTTTATTTCTGCCACCTTGTCTGTTCCTCTTACTTCGTCTATACCCTTTTTATTTTAACAATCGCTATTGCTGTTCGATAGTTTCGAGTATTTGAGTTTAGTTTTTACTTGTGTGGTATTTCAATTAAAACTTCATAATTATGGTATCTTATTTGTGTATTATGTATCTATTGCTATCACCGCTTATACATTACTTAGTTTTATTTTCTGTTTCTTTTCGTAGCATGCCATTATGTACTTTAGATCCGCCTGTCTTAATTTTCTATTATTGATTAGGTATTAATTACCTTGCACTCTTGATTTTCCCCTACATTATTTAATGGTTGACCGATTGTTCAGGCTGCCTATGATTCGTCGCAGACTAAATACATAAAATACATAAATAAATTTAGCAAATAAAAAAAAATTAGCATATACAGGTTGGCTTTTCTTCAGGTGCCCAAATTCACACAGGAGGTTCAGACTCAGTAGTATAATCGTTTATTGAAATAAAAACAAATTTTTTTTTTTTTCAAAATTGCCATTCCATTCCTTACAAAACAAGAACTTGTTGACAATGCGGTAGTCATTCATAAATGCGTCGTATAATGATCATAATGATCGCGAGTAAAATAAATGAGAGTTGCCCATAAGTCACGCACCTTTTGAGAAGATGGATACACTTAAAAAGGCCTGCCTGTATAGAATAAATATATAATTTATTAACTACATTAAACTCGGCGCGTCATAGGCATCGTATTGTTCCCCTCTCCCATTACCAGATGTCCACACAGGTTTTCCGTACCACACTTCCGGTACCATCCTTGTCACTCCCCCCCCCCCCCCCCCCCCCACCAATAAAAGTCCTCAAACTTCTCTCCCTGACCACAGGATCCTCCGTTGTCACTCCCCCTCTCACTCTAACCCCTCCAAATTCGACGTTCCCCTAACGATCGGTCATCGCCACCAAAATCTGTTCAACCATATCCCGTACGTTCCTTAATGCCGCTTCCTTCCGTCACCATCCGTTGTCACTCCCCCTCCCCATCGGTCATCACCCCCCCCCCCCCCAACTTTTTGAACAATTGCCCGTACGTTCCTTAATGCCGCTTCCTTCCGTCACCATCCGTTGTCACTCCCCCTCCCCATCGGTCATCTCCCCCCCCCCCCCCCCCAATTTTTTGAACAATTGCCCGTACGTTCCTTAATGCCGCTTCCTTCCGTCACCATCCGTTGTCACTCCCCCTCCCCATCGGTCATCACCCCCCCCCCCCCCCCTCAACTTTTTGAACAATTGCCCGTACGTTCCTTAATGCCGCTTCCTTCCGTCACCATCCGTTGTCACTCCCCCTCCCCATCGGTCATCACCCCCCCCCCCCCCCCCCCCCCAACTTTTTGAACAATTGCCCGTACGTTCCTTAATGCCGCTTCCTTCCGTCACCATCCGTTGTCACTCCCCCTCCCCATCGGTCATCACCCCCCCCCCCCCCCCCCCCCCAACTTTTTGAACAATTGCCCGTACGTTTCTTAATGCCGCTTCCTTCCGTCACCATCCGTTGTCACTCCCCCTCCCCATCGGTCATCACCCCCCCCCCCCCCCCCCTTTTGAACAATTGCCCGTACGTTCCTTAATGCCGCTTCCTTCCGTCACCATCCGTTGTCACTCCCCCTCCCCATCGGTCATCCCCCCCCCCCCCCCCCCCCCCCCAACTTTTTGAACAATTGCCCGTACGTTCCTTAATGCCGCTTAGTGCACGAGGTGATCCTTCGCCAGGCGCCGGGCGACAGCAAGGAGCCGGACAGCGGCTGCGCCTGCTAGCCGCCCGCGACGGCAATATAGCGCGCTCTCGCTCACGCCCGCTGCACTGTGGCGGCCGCCCGTTCCAGCGCGCCGCCGGGCGGATTTGCACCGTGCTGCTATGGCGCCAAGGTGCACAATCCCGTGGCGGGGCGTGAGGGGTCGGGGTAGTGCCGCCGTGTTTGTCGCCCTAAATAGTACGCGGTGGTCGAGTGTTGCCAGCTTCCTTTACGTCTATGTAGTCATTTTCACGGGTCGAATAAAAATTATCCGAGAAAACGTAATGTAATGTTGAACATTACATTAAAACATCATAAAATAAACTATGATGACAAGTTACCGATTTTTATTCGGTATTTTTTATCACCCGCGACGATGACCGTTATTAGCTTTACTCTGGGGTTATTCATTGTTCATGTTTTTTTAATCTGTAATCGGTAATGCACATGTCACACACTTGTTGTGTTGTGGTAAGGGCTGTTTACTGTACACCGTTTAATGAATTTACCATTAACTGCATTTTTTTAAATTAGTCTAGGTATTTTGGGACCATAATGCGATCGAAGCGCCTTCCGGTATTAGTTTAGGGCGACAAAACGATCTGAGAATACGCTAATGTGCTTTTGTGTGTCAGCCTACGTGATATTAGATGTTAATTATGATTTCAATAGATCAGACGCGAGTGATGAAAATTGCGACGCGACTATTTTAATGTGGACGTCGAAATGCAATATTTTGTGCAATTTTTAGTTAACATTATAGATAGAATGACTTTTAATTTGACATTTTTGTTCCCGCCATCTTGTAATTGAGCTCGACGTTCTGTAATTCTTCGTTATCCATTCTTTAATGTAGTAAAATAAGGTGGGAACTATTAAGCGACCAATTTTGGCAGCTTAAAAAAAATCTCAAAACGTGATATCATTAAGATTTCAGTGTTACTATGTCACCAAAATGTTATGGAGAATGTTAAAAAAATGACCTTATTATAATCTTTGAACACGTCCACCGTAAAAATGGTCGCGTTGCAATCTGATAAATGTTCACTTACGCGTTCGCATACACAAAGGCACGTACGTTTAAACGGCATTATAATTGTCAGTCTCGCTTAAATACATTTAGGTGTTACTTGTAAAATAAGCTAAGTGGTTTTATGTCTATAAGACTGAGCTTGCGCGACGCCATCATTTTTGTTGAATCGGCCAATTTAAAATGTTTAAGGGAGTCGATGCGTTGCTTACAGTTCTCTTATCGACTCTAGATTCTTATGAACTTTGTCAATTGTGAAGAGCAATATTCGTACTAAGATTTGTGGTCAAGGACAAATCGGAGCCACGGGCAATGCCTTGTCTATGGTATTCAAAAGATAGGATTCCTTTTGATGGATTTTCATAGGACAGCTATAGAATGACTCGAGTGTACCGGGATCGTTGGGTACGCCAAGCGTAGAGAGCGGTGTAGATTTATTGTTGCGCGGAGCTGCTCTGTGTTGTATATAGCACGCGTCTGTCGGGCCTCCGCCATTTTGAATTATAACGATACATCTACCGAACCATAGACTAAAAAGGAACCATTAATCTGTAAAAGCATTGTATGAATTTTTATTTTTGAGACCGATCTTTGTTTTAGTATCGCAATTTTTTTAAGACTAGACCCGAATGCAACTCTTAAAAATCCAACGGAGGTCCCGCAGTAACTGTATATTAGTATTATTTATTTACTTTAGCGCTTAAGATGTAAATCTTATGATTTTAATAAACGAAATTAAAGAAATTTTAACTAGTGATACTGTCACCGCTAGCCTTTGTATGACATTTGAAGGGTGTATTCTAAAAAGATCATTCCAAGGAGCTTTTATAAATTAACTTATTCTGTAAACGATAATTATGTATTGCAAATGATTACTATAGAGATTTTTTGGCTACCTTAATATTTGAGATTTATTATTTCTATTATAATTTATTACTATTATGTATTATTTTATCACTCACAGGATTTAACGCGTATAAATGCAATTTAGATTATATTTTTTCTAATATTTTCTTGTTTATACCGAATTTAATGTAAAATCAATGTCGAATTGTTTTCGCTTTGGTCACTGTGCGTTCACACCCATAATCTGTATGGGGATTCTTCATCCATTGTATTTCTTTAAAAAGCGCCGACTGTACCGAGATATTTTATTTTACTCGCAACTCTCGGATGCGACGACTATCTAAATCACATTGCGAGAGGCACGTAAAATGAAATGTGTCGCGTACACTTACGCAGACACGCCTTTTCCCAATCATTGCGTTGACATTATGTAAATAGCGAATACCGAAACCCACGCTAACAATGTTTCAAATAAAAATCATTAAATTACTATGAAAATCTTTATATTTTGACCTCCCCGCCCCAACCTTCTTTTCGTCAAAATGTTGACATGTCTATCAGTTCGTCGTACCAATATGTTTACATAATATCAGGCTAGTCTTGTTCATTTGTTAACACAATAAAATTTTATTTAATGTATAGGTGCCATAGTGTTGCGGTATACAGTCGTAAATAATATGTAAATGACCAATGTTTGTGTTGATTCACACTCAAATTTTTTATACTAGACAAATTATTTTTGGACAAATAGCAAGAATACAAGAAAAAAGACAAAAGTACTTTGACTCTATACAGATATTTTTAGATTCTGATATTTATTTTTTTATTAGTATTACTCTTTCTAATGATTTTTGTGGGTCCCATCTTCTGTAAGAAATCTAGTGACAATGTTGCAAAACCAAAAGTTTCACGTAGTCCTTGTGTAGTGTCACGTACACTTATACATGAAATACATAAACATCGCAAGACACATGTTTTAAATGTTTTCCCCTGTGAATTTAAAAATTTGTGAAGTTCACTTTAATGAATGAATGAAAAATGAATATCATGAACGATAAGGCGTACCCTTGTTTTTTTTTTTCTTTTTAGTTTTTAGACTTAATGAAGCTTCACCGGATATTAGATCGGAATGATATCGACCACTTTTGTTATACTATTTATTTTATCTTTTATCTACGCCATTAATGAACCATGTAGAAATATTTCAATTGTCTCATATTAGATTATAAATTGTGTACCTCTTTCTTTGTAATTTTCTTCTATAAATTTTGATTTAATGCCTAAACTGCCTTTTCTATCACGTGCTTAACTAGCGCCCAAAATTGGTATTTTATCGGTGTGAAATTTTTGATTGTTACTGGTGGCCTTTAATAAGTATGCAATCACTGCATACAAAATTTCCCATAAATAAGTTTACGATCTTCACTGGATTAAAACACAAGTCTCCTAATCTAGCACGTTTCACTGTGGTACGCAGCAGCCTCGGCTGTTGCACGAATGGGCAGGCTCGTCCGGGGAAGTACCACGGCCTCGCGGAAGATCAGCGTGCAGTGGAAGTATAATACTTTCGCGTTTCGTCTGTTGAGTGAGGTGGCCGGAGCCCAATGTTCAAAAGGTTGTCAATGCATCTGCAACCCTCGGGTGTATCAGATGTCCATGGGCGGCGGTATTCACTTACCATCAGGTGAACCGTCTGCTCGCTTGGCGACTTTTCACATAAAAAAAAGTTTCGCGTTTCGTCCTTTGAGTGAGGTAAACGGTGCCCATTTTTTAGAAGTTTACTACAGTGTTGTAGATGCCCATGGGCGGCGGTATATCCGATTGGCGTAGTTGGTTGTGGACCTGCCTCTTCCGCCACGGTGTGGGTTCGATCCCCACTATTGGAAAAATATTGTATGATGAACGTAGTGCTTTCCAGTGTCCAGGTGTAAATATAATGTATCTATATACCAAAAAGTATGTTTATCAGTTATGATCTGTGTGCCCATAGAACAAGCGTTGCTTAATTTGGGAGTAGGGAACGTTGTATAAAAATTTATCATAAATATTTTGTTCATTTAGCATCAGCTGAACCGTGTGCTCGTATAACAATTCTCCACATAAAAAAGTGATCGACTCGTTGAATAATCTCCTTAACGCTAGCGCCTTCAGCGGTGGACCTTCAGACCCAGTCGCCGATGGGGTCCGAGCAGGAGGGCAACGAGGGCGGGTGTGTGTGCTGAGCGCCACCCCGCTATAACCCCACCCCGCCCCCGCACCGCTTCCACACCCCCGCGGCAGCCGTCTCTCACCCCCTAGCAAATTACATTCGTACGAGTGGAAGAAGGGATACATACCCTTACCTGATAGGCGAATTGACTCGCCCGACACCCTCCGCCGGCCCATGCGAGATGGCACGGCGCAGACATTCAAGGCGAAAATTTGTTGAGCTTTCGGTTTTTTTTTACGTTTAGTGTAGTACTTTTTTTTTATGTTTTATGCCTTATAGTCGGTGACGTGCCACGTCGCGGAGCACTGTGTTCTCCGTATATTCGCTTTGGATGTTGCGCGAAGTAGAATTGACATCTACGTCGGACGTTCACGTTCTTAAGGTGGGAGCAGCGGTTGTGACATCGCGGGCCGCATCTCAGATGGGCCTTTGCCTGTGCTACTTCCGAATGGCGCCATTTTGTGTTTCGTCTGCATTGAAATGTCAACGGAGACGCATTACACGAAAGGTCTGTTGTGTAGTTAATGTTCGAGATAATGTTTTACGAATCACGTCTTTTTGTAGCACTTTTGCATTCGCAGACCCTGGTTGCCGATTTCTTCGACTTCGAGTATTTTAAGCTAATGTCTTAGGTTCGTAATTAGAATAAAACTGGGACTAACCCGCGATTATAGAATTGCAGAAGGGGACTGTTTAGAAGTTTTTTTTACACTTTATTCCGTGCGGTTGTCACCACTGATAGTTTAGCGAGGTGTTTAGTATAATGTTGATGTAACTCTTATATGTAGACTTAAATCTTTTTCTCTTATCTATAACTTGTTATCTTGTCACGATATTTTTAGCGAAGATAGAGTGATCCGATCGGACTTGCATTGTTTATGTTACTTAGAACTGTAGTCCATACAGATAATGTATCGATATGACCGAACTGTGCCTAATAACAAACAATTGTGAACAATACTTGTTTATGATAATCTCAAAGGCATGAATAATTTTAGCCTCGTGTTTTTGTGTTTTAAATTATATGGTTTTAAAATTTACAAAATGTTCCGTCAGATCTATTTATTGTCAAGCCTGTTTTTCTATGTATCAAATTTTGATTAATCTTAAAATACCTATGAACCGTGCATTCGTTTTTTGTGTGGTTCCCTCGGAAATAAAGTTTATTATCATTTTCTTCCATTTGTATCAATCAGTATTAGTGACTAATCTTTGTTTCTTGACGAGAGCGCGTGTCACCCAAGGTTCGTGGGACGGAGGTAGGTTCGGAACGTGTTGTTTGTTGTTAGAGAGAAACATTCGCGTTTTATTTATATCGATCAGAAATGAAAGTATGTAATGAATTCACGTTCTTAAGACGCTTTACGACTTATGATGCGCACTGCATTGTCTATTCTAATATTGATGTAGGAGTTTAGGTGAAATACTTAAGACTGGGTAATGTATAATTATGGGTTTTTAAGAACTTATGCGACGATGGAGAGTAAACAAGATGGCGCCGCGCTATTCTCTATATTATTTTGGTACTGAACTAGCCAAATGATTGAACCGTAAAATTATCGTTCTGTAGAAAATCGGAGGATATTATTTTTGTTTTATTCATACAATCTGCTTTGACAAAGAATATTATTTATCAGTTATTTAATACATTTGTATTAATGGTAATCATTCATTTTATTGCTACATTCAGGTGATTCTATTGATATTTTCTAATAAAAAATGTTTTTTTTTTCAATCCTTTGATCCATTTTAAGGCATAGCAATTATATACCAAATAAAAACATTGAACCAAAAGTTTGTTACGTTGTGCACTGTGGTTCAAATACAGGTACTCTTTAAGCACAAAAAATTTTAAAAACGATATTTACACCAGTAAGTGATGTTACGATGTTTAATTATTTATATGTTGGGCATAGCCAAATCAATCACTGTGTTTATCTGTTGTATGTTACTTATTAAATAAGATCGCTGATGTGGCGGATCTACTGCCACTGCCTACGTTCAGACATTCTTTTATTTCCTTCACGTGGTCTAACGTTACTAGTGGCATCTAAGGGGGTAACATAATCTAATGGAGAATTTCGTGATAATTTTTATAGATTTTTGTATGCGTTTATATAATGATAATAATACAATTGACCTAATTCTTAAGATCTCGGTTCACTTGCATGTTCGCGACGTGCTTTAGCTTTGTCAATAGTGAAATATTGTTTTTATGGTAATTTAAAATTAGCATAATATTCCAAAAATTAAAAGCATTTTAAATATGTCACGTGTTTCATTTATCTGAATTTCACTTGATTAACTTGAATTATCATGTTGTCGGAAAGTATTAATTGTTATGCCCTTGTTGATGTTTAGTTTAAAAAAATAGTATCGACATTGGAATGAAGTATGAACTTGTTTTTTTATTGTCACAGTTTACCGATCCAGAGAATATCCGGCACTAAATTCATTTACAACAACAAAAATGCTGCTTTATCCTTAACGAGGTTGGCAATATCGACGTCCCCATGCAATAATCCAGTATTTGCAGACTAATTTAATTTACAGGAATAATCGTTGCGTTGGTTTTAATTTTTTTCAAATCAATGATTATTAACAAAATACTTATTGCCGATATCCAAAGGAGGTACATTTTTATTGCAATTAGTTTATAATATTACCAAATAATTTTTACACGGTCGAGCTCATGTAATACATAAAAATACATATTTAATTCCTTTTTTATAATAATAATAAAGCAATCATAATCCCATAAACGACCTTATGCGTTTGTTTAACATGATTTCTCGGCTTATGCTGGAAGTGAAACATTTTTTCGGCCGCAATTTAGGCTGCACTCAATGCAATGCCAACTTGCACTCATGAGTCCTTTGATGTTGTCAATAATCTTGTTTAAAAACTATCAATGAAATCTAAATAAAAGATAACGCTTGTCATTCTGAAAAGGAATTGAAGAAAGGAGTCATATTTTGCAAAAGGTATTTAATGTTATAATTATTATGTTAAAATCATTTTACCGAAATCATATTAAAGCTATAGTTTTATATACAAAAGTTTAATTTGATAAATTTTCATTTTATACATTGCCAAAACTTGGAAGGAAAGTTTTAACATTAGATGAAATATGATTTATTTATCTTTTATTCTCTTTCACATTTTTATACCGAAATAAACAGATGAAATTTGATAACAAACACATCTTAAATAAAAATGAGGGCAATGGCTCGATGCAAACAACCATAGGTTGTTTGCATCGAGCCGTTGTTATATAGGTACTTAGGTTTAATTCGGCTACAGTAATGATAACAACAATGTACTAAAACTTACGTATTAAAACTCATACAGTTTTTCGTAAATGGATTTACTCAAATTTCGTTAATTCGTTGTATCTTTACTAATAATTTTTCAACAAATTGAACAAATTTTAATAAACCCTTTCTATTAAGCGGCGGAAAACTTTCTTTAAAATACGACATGTAACCATTTGTATATTTTGCTTCTGAAATGTGAGCTGGGAATTTATAGATATGAGATAAATTTAAAAGATTAATATGTGGCAAGGTGTGAAACAAAAAAATTACGCCTGCACGCAGATAGTACTGTTTTCAATTAAATCATCATCACAAGACAAATAAACAAATTTAATGAAAACCGACAAGTTAAAAAGATACACTTTTTTTATACAATTGACGTGACATGAAAAAAATCGTTAGACTTAGAACCGCCGTACAATTCAAACCGGAGTTCTGGGTAGCTCATGGGTTCTGAGTTCGATGAACCTTTAATAGTCTACGGTTTGAAAGCGCCAATCAGTTATAACAATGCACACAATGCCGTCGTACAAAGCCTCTATTTTTCAAAACAATATTTAAAAAAAAACTGTTAAATTTTAGAATTTAAGCGGCAAAAGCAAAATACATCACGAAAATCACCTCTCAAGAAGTAAGTGAATGTTTTAAGTCTTCGTGCAAACTAAAAAATGTCTAAAGCCTTCGTACACACTTTATAAGAGGAACTTATTCACAGTTCTTTATTCGTTACTCTATCCCTAAATATCAAACAAGTCTTTTTAATCTGTACAAAATTCCAACCGATTACGACTAATTCAAATGCATATGAACATTTCAATATGGCACATTAATTCAAAACTGGATCTCTTTCAAGTCCAACATACTTTTTTAACTTTTGGTCTTCAAGAAAATATAGTTATATCTTATATTTATCATGTCAATATTAATACTTGAGGTTTATACATTACTTTTCCCTATCAAGAAGGCTCAATAGGGATTTTGGAAATAATTGAAACCGCCACAGTGTATAACACGATGGATCTTGCTTTAAGCTTATTTTCTTTCGAAATTGCAATTCTTAACCGACCGCGCGATGCGAGAAGGGTAATTTATCCAGACCAGGTATGTAAGTTTTTGCCTTTGTGGCGCTCTAGTGAAACGGTTGTACCGATGATGATTCTAGCGTCAATCGAACTTATTTAGAGTGACGACTAAACACTGTCATCAAAATTGGCGACAACCACACGACATATTGTGAATTTTTCACGTCTATACTAGAACAATCTCGAACAACAAACTCGAATAACATATTAGTATTGACTTTCTCCATACCTAGTTAATATTATTAGAATTTTTAATTCTAGGTTTTACTTCACGTTTCTTTACAGCAGAGTCCATGAAATATGTCGAATATTTCTTAACATTTAATACTTTTTTATGTGAGGCGGGCTGGTAACTAGATTTCGATGGTAATTTTCTTGTAACGTCTAATATTACGAAGTAACAACGTTATTTTTTTAATATTTACAAATACATGAACGAATATAAATATCGTGTTACAAAATCTACGTTATAATACAGAAGTCATCAAAATGTAATTACACAAATTTCAACCGTTATTTTACAGTGTACGTAGTATAATATTAGCAGATATATTTTTATATGTTAAAAGTCAATCAATTTTCATTATTGAACCAAAATCCGCATGTTTCATAAGTGAATGTAACATTTAAGTTACAATATTAATAACATTGTAATGATTAAATCGGACAGTAATGTTCCAATGCTGGAGAACAGCTATATCTTTAGGTAATGAGGAAAATTTATTACCTACTCAAGAAGCACATTATACCGTCCTCAGTGTATGCTTCATTAAAACTTGGCACGTAAATAATATCTCAGATAGTTCCATTATAAGCTATTCTAGTACTTTGGCATTTATCAAATGTAAGGATCAACAAACAACCCTTGTCTATAATATAAAATTTCCAGACTCATTCTTAGTGCTGATTCGTATAACATCAAAATGGAACATGAAACGTGTATTTAATTGGATCGTTACTAATTACAAACAGACGAAGATTTAAACGATTTAAAATGTGAAATATTTTAAATTTACACTGCGTTTTTAGTTTTAACTAAACTAGTTAAAACCATTAATTCAACACTTTCACTTAACGCATCAAAGTTTCCGCTCAACAAACACACCCGGCACATTCGAATCACAACTCACGAGCCGCGCCACCGTGAAACGCTCGCCGAGTCACTCACTCTCGGGCACTGGGTCACTCGCGGGTTCAAACGTCAAAGAGCAGCGCAATATTGTGCTGCGAGGCGCGTCGCTAGTAGTGGTCGGGCTGGTGCGGGGCGCCGCGGAAGGCGCGCGGCTGCGTAGCGTGCGTGGCGTGGGTGGCGTGGGCGGCGTGCGCGGCGTGGGCGGCGTGCGTGGCGTGCGCGAGCGTGGCGTGCGGCGCGTAGCTGCCGTAAGCGCTGTCCTCGGACGAGAGCGGGCCGCGGCGCGCGCCCGAACTGTAGAGCGACTCGCGCCGCTCCTGCACCGCCGCGCCTGTGTCGTCACGTCGACAATGAGTGTGTGAACAAGTCATTTAAGATTCATGTGCTTATAAATTTTTCATGGTGTTCATCAGACGAGTGAAGTAATTCATGGGATGAATCAGAACTGCCGAGCCGCGCATCAGGTTTAGAACGCATTCTTACACGACGTTCTCTAGTCCCAAACTAAACAACGCTTGTACTATGGGTACTAGATAACTGATAAACATACTTTTCTTTTTTAAATAAATACATATATAGATACACACCCAGACACTGGAAAAACACTATATTTTTCCTGTAGTGGGGATCAAACAAATAGGCTGTCACGACCGGGTACTTACCACGGCCTCAGAAGACGGTATGAAGTACAAGTATTTAGTTTCGCAATTCGTTTTGCTGCATGACGTTTTCGCTTCAAGTCTTAAGGACTGTAAAGCCTCATTGACATAGAGCCCGCAGATAGTTACTACGGGATTACTTTCCGGTGAGACGTTCATGACGCGTTAAGCAACGGGTGAAACCCCTACTGGTTCGCCTCCTTCCCCTATGAAGGTAGACACGGGCGATTGCGTTCTCACCGGCAAATCACCGTTTAGCCAGGCTACATGTAGTTCCCGAGAAATGGAGACCTAAGAAGGCCACAGTCGCGCGTGGAAGATTGCGTCTTCGTGCTCTAATCTCCGATGCGACAGAGACAGGTGTAACGTGGGTCTTCAACATACCCCCGCCCCTCCCCCGATCAAAGAAAAAGGGGCCGTTTACCTGCTGGTCCGGGGCGCACGCCGTTAGGTGCGGTCCCGTACGCTGGGTCCCTTTGCGCGTTGTGCGCGTTCTGGTTTAGGGCGAGGGCGTGCGCGGGCGGCCTAAGGAGCAGCGGCTGCGCCCCCCCCCCCCCGCGCCCGCCGCCACACCCCCCGCGCCCCCGACGCTCCCCTTGCTGTACACAGACTGCGACCTGCAACCGCATTTTGGGTTACAACGAGGAACGAGAGGATCGGAAGTCATGCTTTTTGTTAGTAATCTTTAACAAAAAAATATGTACGTGCTTCGTTAGTAACTCAAAGTAAGCCCTAAAAAACGACATTTATTTGTCCAGCTCCTGTTAAATAAAATGGAGCATGGTTTAACGTCCAGAAATTATGAGTTTAGTACACATTGCATATAATTTACTAGCGGACCCGAACAGGTAACATTTCGTAAAATCCGTTCTTAGCTGACCTCTACTCGGCGAAAGGAATATTTTTACCAAATTTGAAGTCACTACGCCTTATGGTTCCAGAGATATCGTGATGAGTCAATTATCGGTGGAAATCTCTTATACAGCGTGGCGTTACAACCGCGACAATAAATGAACACACGTCTAACTCTATTTGCCAATAATCATAAAAAATGTAAACGTTAAAAAATGCACAATTAAGAAAAAATATTTTTCAAACAGACTAATTCAGTATAAAAGAAACAAAATTTGTAACATCCTATACAACTGACTGATTCATACATTCAGAGACTTTTTCATTCGTTGCCACAGCGTCGCATTACAAATCTCTCCTTCTTAGAGTATGTTTTGTCTCTTTTAAACTCATTCAACCCATTCATGTGCTTTGTGAAATATACAAATAAACTTTACGTTACAGTTTTAAACGTAAGGGTGTTCTCAAATTGTTTGTTTTGGACAATTTAATAACTCGGTGAATGTTGATGTTTAAAGAATGTAAATGTTTAAAACAATTTTAAAAAGTTATCCCCTATATGTGTATTCATTTATAGTCGCGGTGGTAACACCACGCTGTATGTAGATAAGCAAAAAAACAAATTACTCAAAGTGATTGTTTCTTTATTACTTCTTTTTTCGTCTTTGGGTGTGTTTCAAACTCATTTGAACGTCCTAAACTACTTTCGGTCTCTAATTCGATCTTGATGGTATATAATTTTTTTACCCAATTACTTTTTACTATAAAACATTATTCATTAACATAAAATCCCCTCTAAGGGTTGCTGAGCAAGATTAATTCTCACTCATGCTCCTCAAAGGATTGTATGACTCTATGATTGCTTCTTCAAATACGGTTGTTCTTCTTTCAATTAGATTTATATATATGTCATTATAAGTTTTATATAATTATGGTAGAACAATAGCAGCTTATAAATAGCTTCTGCGATACAGTAAAAGCATTTATACTTAAGCGTTTGCCAAGAAGTTTCAGTGTTTAGCAACATCTTAATTCATGCTTTGAGTGTGTCTGGGCAATGGTCCTATTTTTTTGTGTCAAAAAACTGTCAAACGAGCAGGTGGTTCACTTGATGTTACGTGAATACCGCTGCCCGAAGACATCTACAACACCAAATTAAAACAAGGCCAAAGATATAAAACATAATTGACTATAATAATTTACACCAAGTTGGTGGTAAAATGGCTTCCAGCTACGTGACATGCAAATAAACTTACGCAACCAGCAAAAAAGCTACAAGCATGCGTTTGCGTGGGGATGGATGCTTGTATGAATCTATACAAAAGAGATTAATATATTCTATGTAATGTGAGACAAACTAAGACGATCTGTTAAGCTTTCCTAATGTAGTATTAAGGTAGTACTTAAGGTAGTACGTGCAAGAATTTCTTTTCCCCGATATCACACATGCAAATATGATTTTCTTATCGTGTGACGATTGGTGTACGGCGAAAATGTTATCGCCTGACGCTTTCGAAACTCAATGAGTTAGGTAGGCTTTATACAGCTCATACCCTACCCGGTAAGGTAGAGGTGTCTGTCTACCCGAAGGCCAACACGGCAGTGTTTGGCTATTCTCATCATCTGGTCGGCTCTTTTACCATAGACAACATTACGTTTGTTAATTTAACAACGCCCTACCTTGTAGTTTCCTATTTTAGTTCTTTATTACTACGCACAGTTTATATGTACTACTGTACGATTGCATTAAGAGCGCTCGCCAATTTTAACTAGGGAAACACTAAAGGAATGGCACAACATACATTGTTCAATAAAGGTTAATATAAGGGGAAAATGTTTCAAGTGAATGGGAATAAAAGTAGATAACAAAAAGGAGGAAAAAGGTTGGTATACTGCACTGGAATATATGGGCTTTTCGGGCCGTATCGAAATAAACGTATTAATCTTGTTTCCGCAAATGTATTCTATATAGTGCCGTCGTGGAAGATACGTGCAGTTTCAACTAATGGTCGACGTTTATTTCCGGGAATACGGAACAGGGTTCAATAACCTTATCCCTATAAAGGAAATGCACGGAACTTAATAATATCGTAAATTCACAGTTTACATTTACGTGTAGGCATTTAATGAAGAATAAAGTACCTACGTAGAAATCTGGTAAATTTAGCCGAACATGTTCAAAGTAATAATCATATATCTAGTTGTTAGGGTTAAAATTATGGTTTCTAAATTTTATGGTGGGTTAGAAAATAATTTTTAATAATTTAATGAAATGTAGTAATAAATCTTTAAATTTCATTCAGTTCCATATTTAAAATGATAAGTTATTTAGGTACGTCATTCTCAAATGAGTCTCGAGTTTAACAAAAGATTCATAATGGTAAATAATATATTGCAAGTCTGGATAATATTTTCTTATTATCTTGATGTTGCAACTTTTCATGAAAAATCATTTTTTTTAATTAAAAAAATATTCTGTCCAGGATTTTTTTAGGCAACCCAGTTTTAATATATTTTCTAATACTAAATTTATTATAAAATAGATTCTGTTCTATTATTAGCTCGGTGATGGTCGATTTAGACTCGGATTTTCTACTATAAGTCCTAATCATAAAATAGATGTGCATTTACAAACGAGCAGTTACTAAAAATAACGTCTCGAATTCCATGTTCTAATCGGAGAAGTTAACAAGAGGAGGTTTATTTAATTAAACGTCGCCGAATGTACACTTTGCGTACGGATAAAGCGAGCAAATCAAATCAAATAATTTATTCATCGAAGTAAGACATATACATTTCATCTTTCGTTAGTCTTATTTTAATCTACCACCGTTTCGTAACGAGGTTCCTCTAACGAAGAAAAAGCCGGCGAAAGAAACTCCGTAGGTATCCTCTTTTTTGTCATTTTTTTCTGTAACAATTACATTTTATAGAGTACCTAAATATTTTTAGAAACATTTTAGGAGCGATCATCTCATTCCCAGGGGTTGTTATCATAAATATATTCATTTATATGAACCTCTTTCAAAAAAGTTTTTCTTTAATAAATTTTTTAAGCCTGTTAATAGATAATCTTTGCACATTAACTGAGATTTTGTTGTAGAAGCGTAGTTTAGTAACGTAGGCTTTACAAGCTTGTGTTTCTTCGTAGTATTTACATTACGTACATCAGTATTCTTATTAAAATTATTAATGTTTCTATGTACATACACTATATTTTCATATATATATATTGAGAGGCCAAGAATAAAATATTGATTTATTTAAATTTCTCTCTCTTCAAAGCCACGACGTGCACCGATATTTGGACCGTGTTGTCTTAATCAACTTTTAATGCTTCCTATCCCTTTCTTGAGGACTGGAGGATTAGACAGATTTGCGATTTCATAAACATGCATCTGTTCTTACCAAGTATAAGTTGTAAGTCATTTGATAAACTTAAATTAAATGATAAAGTACAACATTATTTTATGGAAGTGTGAAAAATCTTCAAAAAGTCTCTTTACTGAATTTACTTTATAGACTTCCTTTTCCTACACTAACCCTATCTGCACTATATCTGTTTCTACACTATCGCTCTCTACACTATCTGTCTCTTACGTTACCTCTAAACTATCTCCTATTCGTCGTCTACGCGTCTACAACCACAACACCGATAGTTACGTTTGGCACGCCGACCCCAGTGCTGACCTGTGCAGCGCGTGGCGCGCCGGCGGCGGCGAGCGGCAGTACATCGACTTGGTGCCAGAGTAGAGGGGCTCAGTGTTGTCTGGTCGGGGCGCCGTACAGTAGGTGGACGCGTGGCGGTAGTGCGTGGGGAAGGCGGGCTTGTCCAGCTCGTCGAGGTCCCTCGGCGAGGAGGCGCGCGAGTTGCTGTTGGCGGGCGACCGCCTGCCGCCCCACTCGTGCAGCAGCGCGCTGGCAACGCCGCCCCCGAGCCCCCCCACCCAGCTGACCCAGTGGCCCTCCCAGCGCGAGAGCACGAACGACGGGCCCAGCGAGCGCGCCGGGTTCAGCGACGGCATCTGTGGATGGCGAGTAGTTATGTTTTAGATGTGTTCCAAATTCAAACGCTGGCTGGGAAAAGGAATTGGCAACTTCTTTAAATACCACAAGCAAAAGCTTGGCTGATTTAGGCGTGCGTAAAAATATGTTTTTAGGAGCAATCGATGTGATGAGTTATGGGAATGATATCCGTCTCCCATGGATACCCTCGCCACTAGCGTGGTTGCAGACATTTTCTGATAACAGTTCTGTAGAAACTCTCCATTCACTCTTTAGTTGAGAAAATCTTTCTCTACAAAAAAGTGTTAAACTCACTTACCGGACGAAGTGCAAAAGTATAAATATTCCATACATTCGAGCTCCGACTCTGATGAAAAATTAAGTATATGTTAGTCGATTAAATCTCCACCTGGTCTACGTGAAAAATTTTGAAAAAATTTTTGCCGAGCGTAATTTTTACTAAATTACACTCGACTCAAACGAAAATTAGTCCATGCGGATCCGATCCTGGTCAGTCGCTCTCAGTGAATATTTTCACTGAGAATCCGCAAAACTGATCAAAACTTACAAAGATATTAAATTATGCATTGCAGTTTATTACTTTCAGAATATTTATAATGTAAATGAAATACACTACAGTTTCTGGTTATTCCCCTCAATGAAGTTTCGGCATTAAACAAATCGCACCGTGCGTAGAATAACGTTCTGTGGTCACATAGAACGAATTTGATTTTATCGTCGGAATGTCTTAATTATTGTCTACGCTTTCAGATAACCGTTCATTTTTTTTCGTCCGACTTATGGTTATTGAGATTCAGAATAGAACACGTTCTATCTGATTTGTGCTCCGCAGTACAAGGACATATGTAAGGTTAGATATGGTTTTATTCGTCCTCGGCATTCGTCCGTGAGCGCGGGAGCGCCGTGTCAAAACCATTCAGTTCGTTGTCGCGCGGAGGTACGCTTGTGTGCATTCATAAATTGAATAGAGACAAAACTGCAAGTGAATGATTTTTTTTGCGATAATTTATTCAAATGCTTATTAACTGAATCAATGATATGTAATAGTGCCTTAAATCTAACAAAAAATAATGTAAATTTAATTTAGTACTTTCAAAATTTAATTTATTTTCACAACCTTTTCGATTTTATTATTAATAATCGTTTATTATTATGTTTATATTTTATAAAATATTTTTTTACATAAAGCGTTTTAGTGCAGTATGCAATTTCTATAAAATTTCAAGAAAATACGCTCTGTAATGCATAATTCGTAATCGAATGTTACATGTGTTTTTGTGACTTTGCTTTTTGAAAAATGTTATGAAAATGTAATAAGTATTTTTTTCTTAAATATTTACATTTCGTGTCAATATAATTTTGTTTTTAGACGTAAACAAAAATTTAAGCTTGTTTTTAAGTAATTGTAAATACAAGTGCTACGAAAAATTAAATGAAACCACACGAGAACAAATATTTTCAAAACCACAAAGCTTTATCTTGACGGTTCGTTGAATGTAATGAAACTGTACAATTTATACAACGATTGGTTTGACTCTGAAATATATTCAAACCAATGTAAAAGTCCTCGACAATACAGAGATATTGTCTTCAAAAATTATCGAAAACCCCACAGAAGTTCAAACTGTAGCTCAACAACAGCATCAAAACAATAAATCTCTTGCTCGTGCAAAAAAGGCTGCCGAAAAAAAAAAAATGCCGAGGAAAATTAACAGTAGCCGTATTTTTTATTTGATTTTCAAAAAGTGTTGACTTGCCCGCACGGTGAAATAAGCGTATTATATTACAAAATAATGTTATCTTATTTTAATTTTACTATATTCGACATGGGTACTAAACATTCAGTCTGTTACGTCTGGGATGAAAGCGTTGCTAATAGGGGGGCCAACGATGTATCTAGTTGGGGGCATCAGATGGGCTAAAACTGGTCATAATAACTAGGTGGTAAAAAGTATTTACTTGATGCATACTCCACAGTAGTTTTGGGAACATCAACACGTTCGGAAGCATCTAGGCCTATTTCTCAAATTTCGAAAGCATTAGCTCCAATACCAATTTCTGACGATAAATATAAAGATTTACAGAGTTTGTGCAAAAGCAAGATTATACCCGAAGAATATGTTGAGTTTTTTTCCAGCTTGCCTCATGGTAGTGTAGAACATAATCCATGTATTTATGAGCTTTCATCATCACTTTCTTCAGAAAGTGATGATGATATTAATGTATTTAAGATATTAATGTACTTCAGAAAGTGATGATGATAGCTCATAAATACATTATGAAATCAGTAAGTGTTTTTTATTGTTTAGTTAAAATCATTTTTATATTTGTTAAAGTTTCTACTTATTTAAGGTTACTTGTTGTTCTACAAAGTTGAATATTTTTACATAGATTTTATATTTTTGAGTTACTTAGCCCCAGATAGTGTTGATAAATATTTGTTGTGATTATCATTAACTCGTGTAAAAATCAAACAATATTCTTAATCTTGTAACTTTATTTCTTATACCTATTAATTATATAGGTAATTTTTTTATAATTTTGACTGATTAAATAAGTAAGAATATTAAGAACTATGGGGGAGGCCTATGTTCAGCAGTGGACTCAAACAGGCTGAAATGATGATGATGATGATGATTAAGAACACCTGCGGTTTATGTTAAGTGTACTATTACAACAAATAAAAGTTATTTTAGAAAAATACAATATTGTTTAAGTAGTTTAACAATCTTTTTACCAGGTTTACTCATAAGATACGTACTATTTGTTCATTATCACCCCCTTTTTTTCATACAAAATAGTGCTACATGCGTTTATGTCATACATATTTTATGAGTTTTTTGTAGAACAACGTTATATATGAACGTATGACCTATTATTTTTTGGAATGTTCCGTTGAACAACGTTATATATAAATGTACGACCCATAATTTTTTGCCATTTTCCGTAGGAAAAAGTCATTATTACACATGGAACCTCTTATTTCCTAAATTTATATACTTATTCATCCAAAAAGTATACTGTTTATTTATATACCTAATCATATTACAAAACTCAAAAATTGGAATAGCAATTGCTATGTATAAAAAAACTATAAACAAAATTAAAAAATTAAAATTTAAACCGTCCTGAACATTTACAATTTTGCAGATGTTACGTTATTCTACGCAGGGTGCGAAATTCGGTTTACATACTGCTAGTATTGTATAAGCAGTAGTGGTAATTCATAGATATACGTCTCATTGAATTTAATTAAAAGCGTAATGTCGTCGATGAAAAAGTGTTGGCTTGCTGTAAAGGAAACATAGTTTGTTGTGATCGCGCTACCCATTTCTTAAAATGAATTAAAGAAACAGTGATTTTCGTATGTGACGTTGTTAGATTTTCGTCGTTGAGTTACTAAAAATCCTAAGTCACATCACGTCTTGAAACTTACCATTTGGTACTCACTTCTGTCATACTTCATTTACTCATTTTATTGGGAGACTTTTGTAAGAAAGGGGCAGGAGAGCTGGCGCAACTGTTATTAAGTGATGCGACACAACTGAGCAGACGAAATGACAAAAGTATGAATAATTCCACTTCACGCCAGTCCTCCTCGGGGCTGTGGTACTTCCCCGACTCATTCTACACTCCCGACGCAAATCCTCCATGTTAACTGCAATATAGGAGTTTCACTTCGGAAAACCTATGAGACAATTTATGAAGTATAAGCATCAAACAATTGTAGGTTCAACAATTTTATCACGTGACAACGTTTTGATGGGTCCATTGCGGCTTTTTTGGCGTAATAACTTTACGAAACAGTTCAGTACTTTTTTAAACTATACATAAACAGAGTTCGCGATCGGGAGGCGCCTACGCTTGAGACTGAGCAAATATTGTAACGTTTTACGTCGACCGTTCGAACGTATTATTCAAAAGCTGTCTGATTGAACAATGCCCGCACCGCACTCTACTTCTGGCGTGTCGCCAGGCGACATTCGCCTTAATGGTCGTAGGAATATGTGCGATAATTAGCGGTACTGCTCCGAGCGTTTCCATCTCCGTGCAGGAGCGGATGCGAGGGGCGCAAAAAACTCTCCATAGAGCGCGCAATTACTTGCGGAACGGGGATGCAACAAACGCTGACTACCTGCGGGCTCTACGTGCCCTGGGGTATAATAAATGCGACGCGACAAAAAACCTTCACGCCTGGCTGCGAATGTCCCAAACAAGTCATAGGTAAAAAGGTCTACGTACGGCTTGTATGGGTCATTGCAACATTCGATATACGCTTGTGTTATCCACCATAACTACGCCATCTTCACGTAGACGGCGTAGTTATGGTGGACAACTTATATTTCCAGCAAGTATAGTGTACTAGTATCATTCATATATAACTGTTCCGGATTCTAGTATATATTTTTTATCTCAAAATAAGAATATATTCGATAAAAATATGGACAGCGCAGTTCATTGAAACAACGAATGTTTGCGGTTTTTTAATATGTCTACGTATTCCAAACGTCACTAGAACACGGGATAATTCTGTAGTGAGGGGGAAAAAAATAAGTTGTACTGTTCATTGATTCGGGACAACGTAATTACTATTTCTGTAAATTTCTCGGGGAGGACCGACGTGAAGTAGAATTATTATACATTTGTCCTATCGTATGGTGTCGATAAATGTCAGCAATCGCTTAATAACAGTTGAAACACTAGCTAGCTTGTCACCTTATCACAATAAAAGGTGTTGTTAACGTTAAAATTGTAGTAGTGTAGAATAACCACAAATTGTTAAAGACTTTTATTTATATATACAAAAGTATGTTACGGTACTATTTTTCATCCATGAATCAGTGCGTTAAATTACTCATCGTTGTCTACCTTGTATCTAAATTTTGTTATGTCGAAACCAAACACGCCCCTAACTGCCAAGTGTGTTCGCTATATAGAATGGCCCGTAAGCAACGCCGCGGGCGACGGACTAGCTTCGAATATCTCGTACGGTTCGAGA